GGTATCAATCATTTCCTACATTCAACTTTGTGTCAAATTTGTGTTAATTAGTTCACATGTTAAATGTATTCAAACCCTTCCAATTAATTTTTAAATTTGAGTAGTTTCTATGGGTAGGTTCAAACTATGTTATTATCATTGTGCATACAAAATAAATATTTTCTAAGATAGAATAAAATTTTAGTACAATATTTAAGGGTTTTTAAGTATAACTCTCTAATTAAAAATTTCATTTTAACAATCAATACAAATTCTAAAGATGAATTTTATTGAGTACTCTAATATTAACTAATGAACAATACCACACACCTAAATTTTATCCTTAATATCACATTCCAACTCTGTAAATTCCTTTTGTATTAATAATTTTATTTATTCAAAAGAATAAATTCAAAGTTTAGTAGCTAATATATAACTTTATAGAAATTTAAATTAATGGTAATAATATATTAATTTTTTGTATTAGTTGAAAAGAATTTATTTTGGATCAAAGTTGGCCAACCTTGCGTAATACCACTGCAAGTTGTTATTACAAGGCGAAAGTCATAACACTTAAAAAGGGTTGCCCTTGACATATTATTTTAAAATTCAACGTTCAACCTGAGATATCCACAGTCTTTAATACTCTTCAATCACGTCTTTTCCATCTCTGTTTAAAGTAAGACACCAGATATAGACTGTCACTGCGAGTTAAAAAAAAAAAAAAAAAAAAATATATATATATATATATATATATATATATATATATATATATATATATATATATATATATATACTGTTATTTTTCCAATCTTTAATCTTGTTTAAAAAATAAATCAAAATAAAGAAAAAAAAATACAAAATAAAAATGCACGCACAAAAGGAATATGCCCTATATAAAGGTATAGTTTGCAAAATAGGTCACAACGTGATACCAACTGAGTTTACGCTGACTACGGGTGCGTTAGGTTATTTAACAATTGGCTCACAAACCCTCGAGGGATAAAGTTTGGTCATGATGAGTGGAATTTTAATTCTTTTTATTGAATTTTTTAATTTTTTATAACTTTGTATATTTCTTACTTTTCCTTTTATTATTTATATTATTTTTTAGATTTTTGTTCGGGTCAATGTCTGTGTTATAATCTACTATATTGGTGGATTGAGACAAGTAAGTAAATGTTAGATAAATGGATGCCAATCTAAAAGGGAAAGGAGTTATATTTTCAAAAATTGGATGAAAATATGACTATATTCTCTAATTTATTGACATCGAATTTATTATAAGAAATATATCGATTGTCATATTATCATAGAAATTATATCAATATTTATATTATTGATCTTTATACATAGGTGCTTATAAAAGGGTTGAATTTACTGAGATTGATCACAACCTTTAACGGGGATATACTTGAGTAATTAATGAATCACTTCCAGAAAAAGGGATTGAAGAATGAAGCTGGTCTTTTAATCTGTCTGCTGTTGCTCTTCCTCTCACAAGAGATGCTGGTTGCTGAGGCCATGCTAAAGATACTGAGTAAGCGTTCAACGCAAGCATTATTGTCGCCATTGATGGTCTCTCAACTGGGTTTTCTTGAACGCATAATAAAGCAATATGAATGCATCTCTGAACTTCATTTCTAGAATAAGAACCTCTCAGTTTTGGGTCCAATATCTGGAAAGGTGTTTGGTCTGTCCAACTCTTCCAAGCCTGTGCCAAAACTTTTGTCAGATATACATACATTATTGAAAGTCCAAAATCTTTTCCTCCAGGCATTTTCAGCAGAACCTAACATAACTAAACAAAATAAGTTAAGTCGATCGTAGTTTAAACTCACAAAGTTCAAAAGGTCATTGTTGTCTGCATGCGATCGATAGTAACTTGCGTTCTTTTTGCCACTAAGGATCTCCAAAACCAAGACTCCAAAGCTGAACACATCGGATTTTACTGAGAATTTCCCATGCATTGCATATTCAGGAGACATGTAACCGCTACAAATAAGAAAAAAAAAACGTTGACACTTAGATTCCAGTACATAACAAGAAAGATTTTCAAATGGGGAAATGAAAGACATTCGTGTTCGAAACAATTCTTTCAGCTATTATAAGGTATACCATAATCTACAATGACATTTAACTTACAAAGTTCCAACTACCGTTCCTGTTCTTGTATTTTCCTGACTTTGATCTCCATGAAAAATCTTTGCCATCCCAAAGTCTGAAATCTTTGGATTCATATCAGCATCTAAAAGAACATTACTCGCCTTGAGATCACGGTGTATTACTCTTAGCCGAGAATCTTCATGGAGATATTGAATTCCACATGCAATCCCTTTTATAATTTTGTAACGTCTTGCCCAGTCTAGCCCTCCTTGGTCTTCATGACCTACAATTCAATAAAATTGTAACATTCAAGACCAAATAGTTCATATAATATCTTCAAAAGGGTTCGAAATAACAAACCAAATAGGAAGTGGTCAAGGCTGGAATTTTGGATAAATTCGTAAACCAGTATCCTCTCCCCTCCCTCCAAGCAAAAGCCTAACAGTTTGACTAAATTTCTGTGTTGAAGCTGAGCAACAAGTAGGGCCTCGTTCCTGAACTCTCTGTCACCTTGGAGGGAGGTTCTTGATAGCCTCTTCACAGCTATCTCTTCTCCATTAGGAAAGATACCCTGAAAACATCTTCATATTACAAAAGCTATATATAGACACTATGTTTCCGTAAGAACTTTATTAATTCATACCTTATAAACCACACCAAATCCACCTTCTCCTATCTTCATCTCATTTGAGAATCTATTTGTGGCAGCTTCAATTGTAGCAAAGTCAAAATGCAAAGACTCTTCCTCACTCGTCAAATATCTCTTAACTGTACCAAAAAGCAATAGAGTAATAATAGTTGCAATAATCACATTGTTCAAGCCTTGAAATAGGTAAATAACAACTTCAACATCTATTTTCTTCAGAGAAAAAAAAAATATTACTGCTATCATTCACTTCTATGGCAGCCTCACGGTTTTTGCTTTGCCTTCTTCGCCACCAACAGCATCCTATAAACAAAAGCACCGCAAAAATAGCAATTGGGATAACCATTGCCACAACCATCAATGTACTGTTGCTACCTGCGCAAGGAACCTCTTTAAAAACATGCATAAAACAAACACTATTCAAACTACGATGAATAATTTTAATACCACTAGCCCCAATATAATGGAAAACTTCCTCCTTAAAGATCCATAACAACTGAAAATCTCAAAGAAAGTTGACTTAAGAATGAAATTAGTGATTTTATTTATAAACAAAAAAAAATACTATTGATTACTTGACAGTTTGAATATCGTTTATACTATTATTCAATCATATATTATCCTAAAAATTTAAAATATGTTATTTAAATATGTTTAATTTTACTTTTGTGTCAATTTTTAAGGTTTTTTTGGTCTTTTATCATTATAAAAATCAGTTTAGTAACCCATCTATTAAATTTGAATCATTTTAATCTTTTTGAAAAAGTGATTGTTTTGACTCATTATTTTAAATTTTTACGGATTATAAACAAAAACTTATATCATTAAATTCACTCATAAACCATACAACCTACTGCAACTGTTATTCTAACACAAAATAATCATAAATATAGTGAAAATCACATTAAAAACGAATTTAAGTAGTCATTGAAAAATCTGATAAACATTTTTTTTATCGTTCATCAAACTCATTTTTTACACGAATTTCACTATATTTATTATATTTTTTCAAACATAAATTACATTTTATAATTTTATGTATGTGAATCTATAAATTGTGATCTTATGACTAAAATAATCACTGTTTTTGAAATTATCAGATTATCCCAAATATTTAAAAGATTAACTAAATTCTTTTTGGATAAAAGAACAAATTGAATGTTAAAAACAAGAAAAAAAATATAACTAGTTTCTTATTGATTTATAACAAAAATATCTATAAACAATATCAATAATATAAAAATTAAATAAGAAATGAAAACCACACACATAAATTAAACAATCCATTAATAGAATTTACTTATCTCCCAAAAGAGAGAAGAGTCGTACTGAATATGATACATAATTCGATACCTGAAGAAGGGAGCAACACCATGGAAGTGGAATTGTACAAAAAGGGATATAGTTGGTATCTGATGCTACATATCGGAAGGAGAACCCTTGCTCCTCCACTTCCATTGCAACACGATGGAATACCTGCAACAGCGCTTCTTAAGCACGTAAGACAACTACCACTTGATCTGTCAGGCTCGCACTGCGCCATTCCATACAGCGTTTGCGCGCTCGTCACAGTCACCGCACCAGCGGCGAACTTCTTCTCTGCCTTGGCACTAACCGAAGCTTCTTCTGTCAAATCTTTTAACAAACTCGAGAGTAATTGGTTGAACTGGTCGTGATTTGAGTTAACGGTGCTTCCTTCGTCGTTTATGGGATACCCGGGAACTGTGATATCGTCGTCGAAGGTGCTGTTGGAGTAGATCAGCGTGCACACATCGTACCAGATATAGGACTCGGTGTCGTTGGGACAGAGGCGCGTTATGTTCATGGCTGCGGCGGCGACGCAGCCTTTGCAGACGGTGGCGTTGACGTCGCCACGGCAGAGAAAACGGCCGTCAATTTCGTCGGGGGTACCTTTAGCGACGGAGGTTCGGAAGAAACCGTTGTTGGAAGGAAGGGAGGAGTTTGAAACAAGAGAAGAGAGAAGGTTATTCAGATTGGATTGAAATGTGGTGTCGGATGCGTAAAAGGTTTGGTTTGTGCAGTAGTGGACACTGTAAATGGGTACTGATTCAGTTGCATGGAAGAGCATACAGAATAGACATAGTAATAGAAGTGCTAAGGAGGTTGTAGAGAAGTTGGAAGCAAGCATATTGGATTAAAGAATTCATACGAGAAATTGTGTAGCGTATGTTTTAAGATTAGGATCATGAAAACCTTTGTTATATATATTTTGTGCCTTCAGATATTTTTGGCTTCCTTTGGAACAGGAATGAAGGAGAACCATGTAATTATGGATTGGAGTGTTGACCCAGGTCTTGCTGCATTCATTGCAGGTAATCCGGCTGGCTTAAAACACTATCAAAGTAATTAATTATTTAACGTTTTTATAGATATTATTAGCTAAAATAAGTTACTATTATTTTATAATATTAATTATCAAGAATAGCTTAAATAATTATAATAATAATTTAATTATAATTTTTATTTTGTATATATTTTTAATTAATATAAAGACAAATCACGTATTATTTTCTATATCTTATCTTTCTTCAACAAATTTAGTCTTTTTTGTTTGTTTTCTTTACATTTTTTTATAAACTTGACAAGATAATTCTAAATTTTATTGAGTTTGTTTTCTTTAAAAAAATTTTTATAAACTTATAAGATAATTCTAAATTTTATTGAGTCTTATAAGGTCACGAACCTAAAACATCTCATTCCAATCATTTTAGATATGAAAATCAGTCAATATCATTTATGGACAATCTTATCTAACGTTCAAGTTAAAGTTCATTGTGAGCTTTTATGTATCATTCCTCCTACGGAAGCCGCTATAACAACATACAAAACAGGCAAGACCATTGATCTTCCTCTATGGAATCGCCTTGATATTGTTGTTCTTCAATAGATTTATGTTATTATATCCTCTAATATTCTTATATCGATCATTGTGGTTGATGATTCAGGTCCTAAAACTTGATAGTGTGTTGCTAACTTATTTTAAGATAATAAAAGGACAATATATCTTAAAAACTCAATTCACGAATACGAACTTTGTAGATTTCTCCACAACCTCCGCATATTGCAATCGACTCAAATATCTTACTGATCAATTATTCAATATTGGGGCTCCTATTTCAAATCAACGTCTAGTAGTTTGTTTGCTCGCTAATTTTGTCACAGTTATACAATAAAAAGATGACTTGTCAAGTTTTGCTACATTATGTTCATGATTGAAGTTAGAAGAGATCACGATTAAGGAGTGAGCAACTCGTGAATCTGGTCCCTTTGCATTATTTATTAGCATAATTGTCATATAACAAATCATGTGTTTTCTCCCTTTTGTATAGTTATGACATATTCTTTTATTTTTGTTCTACGAGGTTATATATATATATATATATATATATATATATATATATATATATATATATATATATATATATATATATACCTATTTGTACTCTTTTTTAGAGTAAAAAATCCTTAATAAAAACATATATGATTCCATCGTACATATATAAACAAGTAAGATGATATTAAAGTAGAAACATGATGATGGTTGTGATAAAAGTGAGACAAATTTAGTACATACAATCCTTGGTGCAAGTTAGTCAAACCAATCATCTTTTGGAAGGTTTGTTGCAAAATAACACAAGAGTTAAATTCAAAAAGATTCATCTGTCCAAAGGTTATTTTTCTCTGTCTCTACTGACATTCTTTTTTCTACTTTTGTTGATTCGGACTAGACCTATTGTTTGGACATTCACCGCTCTATCACCAACTTTTATGTTTTCTTTGGTTCTTTCTTGATTTCTTGGAAATCCAATAAGCAATCTACTATTTTTCATTCATCCTCAAAAGCAGAATATCGAGCATTAATAAGTCTTATTTGTGAGATTCAATGGTTAAATTGTTTTTTTCGTGATCTTCATATTTTATTAAGTCCTACTGCAGTCTATTTTGATAAATCAGTTTGTCATTTACTTAGCTCATAACCTTATATTTCATAAGCGTACTAAACACATCGAGATCTTATGTGATTCGTTAGAGAATTTAACAAGACCTAGTTCATCTTTTTCCTGTTTCGTCTTTCAACCAGCTTGCAGATACTTTTACTAAACCTCTTCACCATATAGCTTTTGACAATTTTATATCCAAGTTGAGTCTTTGTCACATCCAACGTCCAACTTGAGGAGAAGTATTAACATAATTTATTTTCTATAACAAATTTTATTTTTTACCTTTATGTATTATTTTTAATTATGACAAATTTTTTTCTTTTTTATTCTACATAATATTATATATATATATATATATATATATATATATATATACCATATTTGTCCATCCATGGTACTTATATGAAGAATAAGATTATTAATTGTGGATGAAGGCTACAATTCATAATCCCAGACAACATTACAATAATACTAATAATTCCCAAAATTGTCACAAGATCAATTGCCACAAGGAAACCAACCAAAGCAGAGATAACAACACATAGTGAGAGAGGCAAACATGACAGTGGTGAGGGTGGAGTTGTTCAAAAAAACGGTGCACCACAGCAATTGTTACAGTACTAACAATATCAAGCCTTCCCATACTATCAATATCATTTCCCTTAATCTTTAGACTAAGATGGTCAAGCCTCCATATTCATATCTGCAACCTCGTGATTTATATCGAACTTCGTTAAAAAAATTTAATAGTTTGTCTTAAGATTATTTTAGGATGGTTGTGAAATTATTTTTCTAATAAATGTTACTTTTGGTAAGTATTATTAGAATTATTTATGTGTATAAAAAAAAGTGAGAATTGTTTATCACGTTAATCAGGATTTATTTTTAATTAATATTAAAATTTTAATAGATGATAGCTATATATTATTTTGATCGAATTAGTTTTAATCTATATAGTTTTTTTTTTAACTTTTACCTTATGAAAAAATGTCCGGTCAAAAGTTTCAAACACTAATGTAAATCAAAATATATGTTATTATTATCAATATAAAATAATTTATCTGATATTTTACTAAAAAATAAATTATTATTGAAATTGGTTGAAAAATTCTAACAATTATGATAAAATATTATTGTGAATTTAAATACATTACTAATGGTTAATGTTTAATTGTTAAATGTTTTCTAGGTTAAAAATAAATATTCTATTTAGTAATAATTGAAATATTTTATTTAAATAAGAATATTAAAATTCAATATTTAAAAATTATTTTATCTAAAGAAAACATTTAAAATATAGAATAATTTATAATAAAAGTAATTTAAATTTGATATATTTAAATTTATCAAAATCAAAAGATAGAGAGTAGCATGTCAAATCAAACTATTAAGCTAAAAAATATTTTTACACTTTACAAACATGAACCATTGATCCATCAAAAATAGGAACCAAACTCGTTCCATATAATTGATCATATTAATAAAATAAATTATATTATTATTATTATTATTATTATTATTATTATTATTATTATTATTATTATAGTAATTTAATTGGTTGTTTATTAGTTGGAGGGGTTGTCAAGTAGTCACGTCGTTCAAAAATACTGAAAAGGTCTATGGTTGGTTGTACAGCATGGAGAAAGTGAATACAAGAAATGACTGGGTCAAACTCGTACCACACTGAAAAGTATCCACAAAACGTACAGTAAGTCTCAACCTGAATTTCCTTGCACAACACACGGGTTTTTAATTTCTCTTATTAATGTTCTTTTGAAAGACGGCCACAACAGTCGAAGTTATATATAGTTTATCATACTGGGCCTATAGGTTGCGTCGAACCCAGTTTTGTTAGAATCACGCAGCGGAATGTTCGCGTGGTCGGACAAAAATCAAGAGGGGGTGAATTAGTTTCTTAATAAAAATTAGGTTTTCAAAATTTTCCCCAAATTTTACCGATTAAAAACTGCGTAAATATAAATAGAGAAGAGTAGAGAAGATTACACAGTAGGTTTATACTGGTTCGGATCAAAAGACCCTACGTCCAGTTGCTAATCACTCAAAAGAGGATTAACGCTGTCACTAAGAACAAATTGTTACAAATAGATTATAAATGAAAAGATAAAGATACGAAAACACCTCTCTTGAAATCCACAAGAGATGATGAACAGTTTTCCCCAGAGACGGCACAACACACAATCCACTAAGAACTCCACTTAGTGATTCTTATCGCTTCTAGCCTCACACCAGGTTTCCAAAAGCCCCCTTTCCTTGCAACAAACAGTTCTCTGGCACTCACAACACTTAACTTTTGTATGAAAAGAGTTGTTCTGCTTTTCTAAGTGCCAAAGCAGAGTTTAAGTAGGGAAATTAGGGTTTAGGAATTGGGGATTTCGAAACTAGGGTTCTTGGTAATTGGATTTTCGAAAATAGGGTTTGTTTGATGTTTAAAATCAGAAACAGACTGAAATAATCGATTATTTGGAGTAATAATCGATTAAAACAGAGCCAAATACGTCAGAACCCAAACCTCTCAGGAATAATCGATTATTTGGTGAAATAATCGATTATCTGTACGAAACTGTACAAAACAATCGATTATTTTGCTGTTTTAATCGATTAAAACAGTGAGTTTGTATAGAAAGTGTTTTCTCACTGTTTTAATCGATTATTTACCTATATAATCGATTAAAACCGAGCCTGAATGATAAATTTGAGCTTTTTGAAGCTTCTAAGTTACAGACTATGTACCGGCTATCTTAGACTCTAAAAATACAGACTCAATCAAGCTAAAACAGAGTTATTACAATACAATTATCACCAATCTTCAATCTTCAATATTTTAAGTCTTTAGTTCTTAGATCATCATCAAAATCCATTCTTCATATTCATCAAGTGCAACATCAAGTCCTTGAATTGTCAACAATCTCCCCCTTTTTGATGATGATCAAAATTTTCTTTTAAAGCCCTTTGAAATAACCTGTTTTATCTGTCATACTAACAAACACATTAAACATACCAGATAAAATTTAAAATTGAATCATAGGCTTTAAATTTTTCTCCCCCTATTTTGATTATAATCAAAAAGAACTTTGCAACAGCAATCATAAGAGCTCCCCCTCAAAATATGCATAAGTTAGAGAAAGCTCCCCCTCAATCATAACATCAAATTTTATTTCATAATTTTTCATTCATAACAATACAAAGATATAAATACAATCTAAAATTCTTCACTATTCTCATCACTGATAGCTTTAATCGATTATTTCAAGCAAGTAATTGATTATCAGAGGCATTTAATCGATTATTTCACGAAATAATCGATTATTCCAGAGGAGAATACTCTATTTTGATGAAAAATAATCGATTATTACTTGCAGTAATCGATTATTCCAGAGGCTATATCAAGTTTTTAAGGTTTTTACACATTATAACCTATGAATATCCTACAACACGAATTTTAACATAACAATCATCCAAAAACAGTCAAATTAAGCAGAATTTAAGCTATTTCTAATATCCCTAAGTCTCTTCTAAGATCATAGAATCTATCCTTTGGTAGAGGCTTAGTAAATATATTTGCTAATTGACGTTTGGTGTCTACATACTCTATTTTGCATTTTCCTTTGCTGATATGATCTCTTAAGAAGTGATGTCTAATCTCAATATGTTTAGTCCTAGAGTGCATTACTGGATTCTTAGTTAGATTGATTGCACTCGTATTATCACACATTAATGGAATGTCATTTAAATATATGCTATAATCCTCTAATTGTTGTTTCATCCACAGAATTTGAGCACAACAACTACCAGCTGCAATATATTCAGCTTCAGTGGTAGATAAAGCTACACATGCTTGTTTCTTAGAATGCCATGATATTAAGGATGAACCTAACAAATGACATGTCTCACTAGTGCTTTTCCTATCAATTTTACATCCACCATAATCAGCATCGAATATCCTAATAAACTAATACAAGCATCGAGACGGATATCACAAGCCAAATCCAGATAGTTCCTTTTAAGTATTTTAAAATATGTTTTACTGCAATTAGGTGAGATTCTTTAGGACAAGCCTGAAATCTTAGCACACACACAGAGACGTAATGCATAATATCGTGTCTACTAGCAGTTAAGTATAATAGTGATCCTATCATACCTTTATACATAGTTTGATTAACTTCCAAACCTGATTCATCCTTGTCTAAATAGCATGAAGTTCCCATGGGTGTGTTGGCTTCTTTTGAGGTGTCCATTCCAAACTTTTTGAGAATCTCCTTGCAGTATTTAGTTTGAGAGATGAAAATGCCATCTTTAAGTTGCTTGATTTGAAGTCCAAGAAAGAATGTTAATTCTCCCATCATCGACATTTCAAACTCTCCCTGCATAATCTTAGCAAATTCTACACATAACAAACTATCAGTTGATCCAATAATATCATCAACAAGTATCATACCCTTGAACTCCAAAGTATTTGCACCGCAGTTGCTTGATTGATTGCTTAAGGATGTGTGTAAACTTATATTCAATGTGTGTTTAAAAAGTTCAAGTCAAACTGTTTTTATAGAAGATTTTCAAAACTGCTGGTTTAATTAATCTGTTAAAAGATTCTTTTAATTTGTTAAAAGTGCAGTTTTAATCTGTTAAAACATCTTTTAATCGATTAAAACGCAGTGTAGAAAAAAATTTTAAGTTGTTTTAATCGATTGAAACGAGTTTTTAATCGATTAAAATAGTTCTGATCGGTCATAACTAAATTCTGATCGATCATAACTGATTCTGACCGGTCATAATAAAAATCTGATCGATCATCCTGACCCTTTAAGTGATTTTAATCGATTGAAACGTGTTTTAATCGATTGAAAAGAATTCTGATCGCTTATAATTTGATTCTGATCGATCATCCTGACCCATTAAGTGATTTTAATCGATTGAAACGTGTTTTTAATCGATTTAAAAGATTCTGACCGCTCATAATAAAAATCTGATCGATCATAATGAGTTCTAAATGGTTTTAATCGATTAAAATTAAGTTGTATCGATTAAAATACTGTAAAAACATTTCTTTGAACATTCTAAGTGATTTTAATCGGTTCTTTCAAAACTATATCAGTTAAAATCATGTTTAAGAAAGCTTTTGTAAAAATACTTTGCTTTTAGTTGTTTAAAACGATTTTAGAGGCATTTTGCAAAAATCTTTAAGTGAAGAACCTTCATGCAGCAGAAAAGATTAAATGATTTTACCTAAGCATTCTGTTTAAAAGCATACTAAATGATCCATTTTCTTTGAATAAATATAAGATACAAATAGTTCATTTAACTATAGGAACCCAAATATATTTACCTTTAGGAACACCAAAATGTTTAATTTTACACTTATTTGAAGTGTGACCTTGTTTCATACAATAGAAACATGCATTTGAAGTAGTTTTAGAACAAGATACATTATTAACATGACATGCTTTAGTTCCTTTTTCTACCCATACTCTTTTCTTTTTAGTTTTACTCTTTTTCAAAGGAACTCTTTGATTTACATTATTTTGAGCAATTACCATTTCATGCTTCTTAAGATCATCAATTTCTTTTTCGGCTTTGTCAAGCAAATGGTTAAGAATATCTATGTCATATTCATGCTCTTTACAATTTTCACAAGCTAAGTCCTTATTCTCATCTAAGCATACAATTTTCGTATTAGCTACCTCCTTTTCTTCTAAACATGCAATTTTCAATTTTAAAGACTCATTTTCCTTTTCGGATCTTCTTAGATTTTTCTTTACAACTTTATATTCTTTTTTCATATCCATAAATGCAGTAAATAACTCATTATAAGCATTTTGCAATTCATCATGGTCATTTTATTCACTAGAGGATGAATCGGAATCACTAACCTCAAAATCCGAAGAAATGTTGTCATTTGCCATCAAGCAAATGTTTGCTTCAATTTCTGAGTCGCTTGATTCTGAATTTGAATCACTGTCATCCCAAGCAATATATGTTTTCTTCTTGAATTGCTTTTTGCCCTTGTGTTCATCATTTTTCTTGTTTGGGCATTCGATCTTTATATGCCCTGCTTCACCACAACCAAAGCATTTTATATTAACGGAAGAATTTTCTTTTACCTTTCCCTTACCTTTGAAAGGATGTCTTCCTTTTGCTTTCATCATCTTGGTGAACTTCTTTATAAAAAGACTCATCTCTTCTTCATCAATTTCGGAGTCTTCTTCTTCTTCTTTCTTATTTTTGCTTTTTAAAATCTCGGTCTTGAAAGCTAGGTTCCTCTTTTGATATTGACCCTCTTCCTCATTTAGTCTTCCAAGGTCAAGTTCATGCTCCCTAAGCTTTCCAAATAACGCCGCCATAGACATAGTGACAAGATTTTGTGACTCCGAGATGGCCGTCACCTTTGGTTGCCATTTCCTATCCAGAGATTTCAAAATTTTAACATTTAATTCATCAACGTCAAATACTTTACCTAATCCGGTGAGATGATTCACAATATGAGTGAAACGCTTTTGAACGTCGAAAATCGTTTCGCCGGGTTGCATCCGGAACATCTCGTATTCTTGGATTAGGGAGTTTTTACGCGCTCTTTTGACGTCGTCAGTTCCTTCATGGGTTACTCTAAGCATTTCCCACATTTCCTGTGCACTTTTACAAATAGAAATTCTGTAGAACTCATCAAGGGTTAGAGCAGATGAAATAATATTTCTAGCCCTAACATCAAATTGTGCTTTTCGACTTTCTTCTACAGTCCATCTAGAAATAGGTTTAAGAACGTCAACACCGTTCTCAGTAGTTTTAGGAACAAATGGACCGTTTAAAATTGCGTCCTAAACGCCTCTATCAACAGACTCTAAAAATATTTGCATACGTACCTTCCAAAAAGGATAATTTTGACCCGCAAAAAGTGGGGGTCTGTTGATAGACGCACCTTCGGCAAAAGTTTAATTTTGTCCGGCCATTTTCGAAAATTTGAATGACTATCAAAGCAAGCTCTGATACCACTTGTTAGAATCGCGCAGCGGAATGTTCGCGTGGTCTGGACAAAAACCAAGAGGGGGTGAATTGGTTTCTTAATAAAAATTAGGTTTTCAAAATTTTCCCCAAATTTTACCGATTAAAAACTGCGTAAATGTAAATAGAGAAGAGTAGAGAAGATTACACAGTAGGTTTATACTGGTTCGGATCAAAAGACCCTACGTCCAGTTGCTAATCACTCAAAAGAGGATTAACGCTGTCACTAAGAACAAATTGTTACAAACAGATTATAAATGAAAAGATAAAGATACGAAAACACCTCTCTTGAAATCCACAAGAGATGATGAACAGCTTTCCCCAGAGACGGCACAGCACACAATCCACTAAGAACTCCACTTAGTGATTCTTATCGCTTCTAGCCTCACACCAGGTTTCCAAAAGCTCCATTTCCTTGCAACAAACAGTTCTCTGGCACTCACAGCACTTAACTTTTGTATGGAAAGAGTTGTTCTGCTTTTCTAAGTGCCAAAGCAGAGTTTAAGTAGGGAAATTAGGGTTTAGGAATTGGGGATTTTGAAACTAGGGTTCTTGGTAATTGGATTTTCGAAAATAGGGTTTGTTTGATGTTTAAAATCAGAAACAGACTGAAATAATCGATTATTTGGAGTAATAATCGATTAAAACAGAGCCAAATACGTCAGAACCCAAACCTCTCAGGAATAATCGATTATTTGGTGAAATAATCGATTATCTGTACGAAACTGTACAAAACAATCGATTATTTTGCTGTTTTAATCGATTAAAACAGTGAGTTTGTATAGAAAGTGTTTTCTCACTGTTTTAATCGATTATTTACCTATATAATCGATTAAAGCCGAGCCTGAATGATAAATTTGAGCTTTTTGAAGCTTCTAAGTTACAGACTATGTACCGGCTATCTTAGACTCTAAAAATTCAGACTCAATCAAGCTAAAACAGAGTTATTACAATACAATTATCACCAATCTTCAATCTTCAATATTTTAAGTCTTTAGTTCTTGGATCATCATCAAAATCCATTCTTCATATTCATTAAGTGCAACATCAAGTCCTTGAATTGTCAACAAGTTTGACATCAGAATCATATTTTAAAGTGATCTGTTACTAGGATTATACATTAGCTAATATCTGTATTTGCAGTAGTGGAGAGCTAGATACTTTTAGAAGCACTAACTTCAACCAGCATAATGTGGGCAAGAAAAAAGAATCCCTCATGAAATCAACCCTACGCTCCAAAAACAAAAAATGCTCAAGATTGCAAATTAGTCAGGTCTTTCTCCGGGCATCTTGCTTTATCTGCGCTACATGTTCATTCAGCGTGAAGCAGGGATAGGATTATTTACAATATAAATCTGCTAGGATCGTGTAGCAGCAACACCATAGTTTGACAATATTTGAGCATACACTAGATTGATCGAAGAAAACTGGAAAACAGTCCTTTAGCGAGGGCATACTTCAGTGATGGATACCTCATTCACAGACCATGGAATTGAACTGGAGGTCAACTGAGCGGTGGTAGACTGATCAGAGTCAAGCCCCCAGTTTAGGCTGTTAGGACTTCTTCCTCGCAGAAAAGATGCTGGTTGTTGTGGAATTGACATGGTAACCGAATAACTGTTCAGCATAAGTGCAATGGTGGCCATTGATGGTCTGTCAGATGGATTTTCCTGAACACATAATAAACCAATATGGATGCATCTATTTACTTCATTTCTGGAACAAGAACTTCTCAGAGTTGGATCCAGAAATTCCATAACTGTTTGCTCTGTCCATTTCTTCCAAGCCTGTGGCAGTATAACGTCAGTATTTAAACTAGGAATATCTCATTTACTCACCCACTGAAATAGTCTTTAGCTAGGCATTGCAGCTAAGCTTGGTATCAGCATAGCAGAAGAAAAGAAATTACTATTGCCTATACTCACAAAGCTTAAGAGGTCATCAGCGTGATTCGATTGATAAAAATCAGTATTCTTCTTGCCACTCACAATCTCCAAAACCAATACACCAAAGCTGAAAACATCTGATTTCACAGAAAACTGCCCACGCATTGCATATTCTGGAGACATATAACCACTGAAAAACAATATAACACACTTATTTGAAAAAGAACAGTAAAAGTTTTGAAAAGAACATGTTTTTTCCCACTGAACTTTACTAGCCGTATGTATCACATAAGTCAGATATGCAAGAGAAATCGGACTTACTAAGTCCCAACTATTCTTCCTGTATTTACTTGAGTCTGATCTGCCTGGAAAATCTTTGCCATGCCAAAATCTGAAATCTTTGCGTTCATATTTTCATCTAATAAAACATTGCTAGCTTTGACATCACGGTGTATAATTCTAAGTTGGGAATCTTCATGTAAATAAAGAATTCCCCGCGCAATGCCAACTATAATATTAAAGCGTTGTGACCAATCTAGCTCTCTTTGCTTCATAGAATCTACAAAATTAAGTACCCAGATTAGAATAGCGAAATTACGGCAACTTCCATTTATACAAAGCTATTGATTCCCTCCAACGTGGGTGTTCTTTAATAAGGGAAAAGGTAATTAACGCCATCTAAATTCAATGAAGTGATTCTGTTATGAGGTGTCATATTAGTCTGATAGGGGGCAATCAATCACTACACTAATTGAGAGGTCTCATATAAGAAAAGTACAAAAGGTACATACCAAATAGAAAGTAATCAAGGCTTTTGTTTGGTATGTATTCATAGATAAGAATCTTTTCCTCGCACTCCAAGCAAAATCCCAATAGTCTCACTAAATTTCTATGTTGAAGCTTGGCCACAAGGGCAGCTTCATTCCTGAACTCTACTGCACCCTGCAAGGAGGTTACAGACAACCTCTTCACAGCTACCTCCTGTCCGTTAGGGAGGACACCCTAAAATCAAACATTGGAACAGACCAATTTTTATTTAACTATTTTAGCATAAACAAAATATGTTCTACTCAACATTTAGTATAAACATGTTTCATACCTTATAAACCACCCCAAATCCTCCTTGGCCAATCTTATTATCATCCGAGAATCTGTTTGTGGCAGCTTCAACTGTAGCCAAGTCAAATTGCAAGGCCTCCACATCGGTAAGATCATCCACAACTACACAGCAAAGGAAGACAGTAATCATAAGCAACCAAATTAAAGAGAGGGGAAACAGATTACACGAAACAATCACTACAACGGAGAAAGAGATATTACTTGAATCCTGCACAAAAGAATTTTTGTATTTATTGTTTGCCCTCTTGCGTAGGAAGTAGACGCCAACAATGAAAAGTATCACCGCAACAACAATTGGGACAACAATTGCCACGATTATAGAGATACTGTTTTTTCCTGTACAGGTTCATCACTGACTAAGACACCCCATTAACAAGGTTATGGTTAGTACATGATGTTAATATTCTATAAAACGTCGATACCTGAAGATGGGGAAAGAGACTCTGGTTTAGTGGAGACGGCGGAAACATTGTAAAAAGGGTACAATTCATATCTGACATTACAACTCGGAAGCAGGGAGCGAGCACCTCGTTTTCCTTCACCGAGGCTACTGATGGCGCTTGTGAAGCACATGTTACAATCAAAGGTGGACAAATCAGGCCTACACTGCGCCAGGGTGTACAGACTCATTGAGCTCGTGAAATTTGCTTCTTTTGTAGCAAACATTTTACCCAAAGGAGAATTCACGGCATCCCCCGCTACATCTTTCAACGTGGATGCAAGAAAATTGATGAAGCTAGTAGTATCGGAATCAGGAACGCTCTGTTGGGAACTGTAGCTAAAACTAGGGACAATGTTGTTGAGGAAGGAAAGGTTGGAATAGCGCAGCATACACTCATCGTACCAGATTACAGACTCTGTCTGGTTGGTACAGAGGCGTGTGATGTTGTTGGCGGCGGCGGAGACACAGTCGTGGCATACGGAGGGGGTGACGTCACGGCGGCAGAGGAAGAGTCCCTTGATCTCTCCGGGGGATCCAAGGGAGATGTTGGTGAGGTAGTAACCGTCGTGGAGAGTGGCGTTGGAGACGAGGGATGAGAGGAGGAGCTTCAAGTTGGTTTGGAATGTTGTGTTGGGTCCGTACTGGGATCCATCGTTTGTGCAGGCATGTACGCTATATACAGGCGCAGCTTCACTTGCAAAGATTAGGAACAAAAACAGAGAGAGGAGTAACAAGTGGGTTGAAGAAGATTTCAAGATGCTCATCTCGGAGAAGATGGGTGAAGTAAAATAGTAGTTTTTGTTCCATCACTTAATCCTTCATTGTGTTAATTAGATTCTGGTCGGGTGGGTGATGATGTGTTTTAAGTGCGACATGAAATGCTATGTCATGACCTCACCCAGAAATGAAATATTGTAAATATTGAACGATTTGACGAAAATCAAACAATGTCTCTGTTCTGTGTTACACTTTTATAAATAAATAAAAAATTGTAAAAAATACTGATTAGTTTGACGGAAACGACTTGATGTTGATGTGCTACGTGTAACACTGATTCTTAAGGTAAAATATTTCTTGACAACTGTTCTTGCGGACCGGTGACAGCGTGCGAGATGAGTCAAACAAACACTCATCGATATATGGTTGGTTAGAACCTGGACTCTTTTTTTTTTTTTTTTTTTTTTTTTTTTTTAAGGTTTAAATAGGTAGGACGTATACATTGACGTTTATTTTGAATACTAAACAAATTCTTTTTCTTCGAGTATATAATAATTTTTAAATTTTGATCAAACACACTTGAACAAATACTTATTTATATTATGTTTATATTATTATTACGATGAATTTATTGTATATGAATTTATCTTTTTATCACCATAATCAATACTATATTTTTTTGTTATATAATAATATATTTTAAGAAGTAATAAAAGGACTTTATTGTATATTATTTTTTTAACACTTTAAAATTTATTATCTCTTTCAACTAAGGAGTAGTAGAAGAAATAAGGGAAATAGAGACATAGACTTTCACCTGTTACTTTAGGCCAGGTATGTTATCCTATTTGAGAGAAAGTTGATGTTAATTTGAAACTAGGTTCACCTGTTACCTGTAGTAGATTGTAGTCCAGAGGTGTTTCTGGATCTTTAAGACTTGTTAGCTTTCATGGGTTTGGGATAGCCTCCTCTGATGATTGCACTTTAAGACCCCAATTCAAAACAACGTTACAAAAAGAATGAAAAACCAATCGTAAATAGTATGTTACGATTAAATAAACTAAAGTAATGAAATCAAGTTAATAATGGAAGAAACTAATTTTTATAAGAACGCCATAGTTTGAAAAGATTTAATGGTACACTGTATTGTTTGAAGAAAACATGAAAAGCAATCCTTTAGCGGGGGTATAATTCCGTAATAGATACTTCATTCACAGACCATGGAATTTTACTGGTGGTAACTGAATAACTGTTCAGCATATGTGCAATGGTGGCCATTGATGGTCTGTCAGATGGATTTTCCTGAACACATAATAAGCCGATATGGATGCATCTCTTTACTTCATTTCTTGAATAAGAACCTCTCAGTGTTGGATCTAGAAACTCCATAGGTGTTTGCTCTGTCCAATTCTTCCAAGCCTGTAGTAGTATAATGTTAGTATTTAAACTAGGAATATCTCATTTTCTCACCCACTGAAACAATGTGTAGGTAGGCATTGCGGCTATAAGTTTGGTATCAGTAAGACGGAAGAAAAATATTCCTATTGTTTATACTCACCAGATTAGGGAGGTCATCAGCTTGTTCCGATTGATATAAATCAGTTTCTTCTTGCCACTCACAATCTCCAAAACTAAGATACCAAAGCTGAACACATCTGATTTCACAGAAAATTGTCCACGCATTGCATACTCCGGGGACATGTAACCACTGAAAATAGCATAATCCACTTATTTGAAAAGGAACAACAACAAATGTTTGGAAAGATCATGATTTTTTTCCTGCTGAACTTAACAAACGATATGTTAAACACATAAGAGAAGATGACGTATAAACATTAGACTTACTAAGTCCCAACAATCCTTCCTGTATTTACTTGACTCTGATCTGCCTGGAAAACTTTTGCCATGCCAAAATCTGAAATCTTTGGATTCATATTTTCATCTAATAAAATATTACTAGCTTTGAGATCACGATGTACAATTCTAAGCTGAGAATCTTCATGTAAATAAATAATTGCTCGAGCAATCCCAACTATAATCTTGTAACGACTTGACCAATCTAACTCTGTGCGCTTTGCAGGGTCTACAAAGTTTGCCAAAATGAAATACCCATATTAGCAATAGGAAAGTTACCACAATTTCCGATTACACAATGCTATTAACACCTTCCAACGTGGCTGTTGTTTAATAAGGGAAAAGGTATCATCATGTGAATACAATGAAGTGATTCTGCTTATGAGGTGTCATATCAGCCTGTTTGGGGCAGTCAATCACTACACTAATTGAGAAGTCAGGTAATAAATGAGTAGAAAAAATATACCAAATAGAAAGTGATCAAGGCTTTTGTTACTTATGTATTCATAGATAAGGATCTTCTCCTGTCCCTCCAAGCAAAATCCCAAAAGTCTTACTAAATTTCTGTGCTGAAGCTTGGCCACAAGGCCAGCTTCATTCCTGAATTCTACTGCACCCTGCCAGGAGGTAACTGACAACCTTTTAACTGCTATCTCCTGTCCGTTGGGGAAGACACCCTAAAAAAAGCATTCGAATAGACCAATTAACTACCTTATCATAAAATCAAATGTGTTACTCAGAATTTAGCGTAAACATGTTTCAAACCTTATAAACCACCCCAAATCCACCTCGGCCAATCTTGTTCTCATCCGAGAATTTGTTTGTGGCAGCTTCAACAGTAGCCAAGTCAAATTGCAAGGACTTCACATGCAGGGGCGGATCTTCTTGGGAGCTGAGGGGGGCCGTGGCTCCCAAAGTTTTATAACTTCCATGTAATTTATGATTTTGGCCCCTAAACTTAATAAACATTTAATATATTTATTTGTATATTTACAATTCTATCCTCTCAAGTCCCTCCTCAATTTTGTAACTCCCACGTAATTTATGACTTTGTCTTAATGATAATTTAATATATTTAAATATATATCTACAATTTTATCCTTTTACCCTTTAATCTTCTTTCTTCTTTTTATATTTATTTATTATTTATTAATAATATATTATTTTATATTTATTTATTATTTATTAATAATATATTATTTGGCCCCCCAAGATCAATGGTCAAGATCCGCCACTGTTCATATGAGTAAGATCATCCACAACTACGCAACAAGGAGAGACAGTAATTATCAGCAAAGTCTAGGGATATAGATTACACGATACAATCACCTTCGAGAAAGAGAGATTACTTGAGTCATGGACAAAAGAATTGGTGTATTTATTGCTTGCCCTTTGACGTAGGAAGCAAGCGCCATTATTGGCTGAAAAATGTCTTTCTTGTTGCTCAGATAACTTTTTAGCTAATTGGCCTATCTGGGTCTCTATATTTCTGATTGAAGCCTCCGTATTTTTCTGACTAGTCAAGAAAGCTTGCATGAATTTCTCTAGAGTGTCCTCTAATTTGGCTGTTCTCTCATGCACTAGAGGGTAATGTTATTGTTGATATGGAGGTTGTCTATTAGATGAACCAGCACTTTGTTTCCATCCAAAGTTCTGATTCTGATTTTCTCTCCATTCTTGTGAAAAATTGTTCTGATAGTTGTTGGAGTTATGAAAATTTGCTTGTCTTCCTTGACTACTACTACCTTGAGCACCCATATAATGAACTTCTTCTTCTTGTAGGTTGCCTTGGTAGGAGTAGTGTCCATTTAGATGATCATCTCTGCAAAAGTCACAACTCATTTGTTGGTTGGAAGTGGATTGGACAGCATGTAATTGTTGAGGCAGTTTTGTCATTTGCTTGGTCAATGCTTCAATCTGTTGAGTCAGAATTTTATTCTGAGCTAGGATAGTATATGTAGTGCTAAGATCAAACGTTTTTCCTCTGAACTGGATATCTATCATGTTGGGCCTGCTGGTCTGTAGAGGCTAGTGCATCAATAATTCTTGTGGCATGCTCAGCATCCACAGACATCATGGTTCCTCCTGCTGCAACATCTAAGAGCATCTTTGTATCAGGTCTCAGGCCAATGCAAAAGATGTTCAACTGGGCAATGTCTTCAAATCCATGATTTGGGCACCTCCTTAACAGTGATTTAAATCTCTCCCATGTTTCACAAAAGGGTTCATCCACTCTTTGTCTGAAAGTATAAATGTCGGATTTTGCCTTGATGTAGCGGGATGGTGAAAAAAATCTATTCAGGAACTTATCTTCTACATTACCCCAGCTGGTCAAACTCTTAATAGGATGTGCTTTTAACCACTATTTTGCCCTGTCAGCCAATGAAAAAGGAAATAATCTCAAGTATGCAAATTCAATATCTCCTTCTTTAAACCCCATGGTGTTAATCAACTCATAAAAAGTAGACAAATGAATATAGGGATCTTCATGATCCATTCCGGTGAATTGATGAGCAATAATCAAACTTAAGAAGCCTGGATTTATCTTCAAAGATTGGTTAGGTGGTATCGCAATGCTGGAAAAATGTCTCGGACCTTGACCTTGTTGCATAAGGTAGTCTCTGAGTGTTCTTCTAGGTAGTCAATCTCAAGAGAGAACGCTGCGGTGTGAGAGGAGCAACTTAAAGTTTTGTGAGGTGTGTGAGTTGAGAGCAAACACTTGAGAGGAAATGACAGGTCTAACCAATGGCATCCCGCTACCCAAGTTGACGAAAGGCACCAACTATGACAACTGGAAGGTACAAATGAAGACTCTTCTCGGCTCCCAAGATAACTGGGATGTGGTCGAGAATGGGTATGAGAAACCGGCAAACACAGATGGGTATTCAAATGCCCAGCTGAACGCATTGAAGGCCGTTCGAGCAAAAGACAAGGCGGCTCTGTATCTACTATACCGAGCCGTCGACGAATCTGGCTTTGAGAAGATAGCTAACGCAAAATCTTCCAAAATAGCATGGGATACACTTGAAAAAACAAACAAAGGAGATGAAAGGGTGAAACAAGTTCGACTTCAAACCCTTAGGGGCGAGCTTGAAAACATGAGGATGAAAGAGCCTGAAAGCGTATCCAAGTTCATTACTCGGGTGGAGACTGTGGTGAACAAGCTGAATCAAAATGGTGAAAGTCTTTCATCAAACCGAGTTGTTGAAAAAATCTTAAGATCATTGACAGATGATTTCGAGAACATCGTGTGCGCAATAGAGGAGTCCAAGGATCTGTCAACGCTCACCCTTGAAGAGCTTGCTGGGTCCCTAGAAGCGCATGAGCAGAGAAGGAAAAACAAGAAGGGGGAGTCCCTTGAACAGGCACTCCAGACAAAGGCGATAATAAAAGAGGAGAAGGTGCTATATGCTCAGAGCTCCAGAGGCCGAGGAAAAGGCAGAGGTCGTGGTGGTAGAGGAAAAGGAGGACGAGGAAATGAGCAAGACGGTCAACAGAACTGGCGTGGCCAAGGACAGGCTCGGGGTGGCCGGACAAACACAAACAATATTGAATGCTATAATTGTGGGAAGAATGGACATATTGCCAAGGATTGTTACACGGTAAAATGCTATAATTGTGGAAAGAATGGGCATGTTGTCAAGGACTGTTACTCCGTAAAATGCTATAATTGTGGAAAACTGGGTCATATTTCCAAAGATTATAGGTCTGAGAAGAAAAAGGAGGAACCAACAAACTTTCTTGCTGAGGAAGAAGACGAAGGATTGCTGATGGTGACAAACACTTCAGAAACTGAGATCAAACCGAATTGTTCTAATAACTCGGTTTGGTACTTAGACACCGGCGCTAGTAACCACATGTGTGGTGATGAGCGCTTATTCAAAATACTTTCAAAGGTGGAGTCCGGATCTGTTTCTTTCGGTGATGCTTCGAAAGTAGCTGTCAAAGGTCAAGGAACGATATGATATCAACAGAGAAATGGGCAAATCGGAGAGATCGGAGATGTATACTACGTACTCGATCTCAAAAGCAACATATTGAGCATGGGACAGCTTAATGGAGAAGGGGTACTCGGCTTCGATGAAGGACCGAGAACTACAACTCGAAGGATAAATTAGGGAGGCTTGTTGCTCTGGTGGGAATGAAGAAAAATCGCATGTACAAACTTGAGTCGAAGACAGCTCAAGATAAATGTATGCAATTTGATATGGAGGATGAGGTCATGAGGTGGCATTTGCGGTTTGGTCATCTTCATTTTGGTGGGTTGATCGTGCCGGTGAAAAAGGAGATGGTGCTCGGATTGCCTAAAATGGAATTCGAAAAAGGTTCTGTGAAGAATGTGTGATTGGGAAGCAAGCGAGAACTTCTTTCCCAAGAAGTTCTGAGTGTCGAGCAAAGCAACGAACTCTGGAGTGATCCATACCGATTTGTGTGGGCCAATAACTCCGTAATCTTTCAATGGTAAGAGATACTTTGTCTCTTTCATCGATGATTTTTCAAGGAAAACATGGGTTTATTTTCTCGAAGGAGAAGTCGAAGTGTTTGAAACTTTCAAGAAATTCAAAGTTATGGTGGAGAAAGAAACAAACAAAGTCATTAAAGCATTCCGATCCGACAGAGGAGGCGAGTTCACTTCTACCGAGTTCAACAAATACCGTGAAGAACATGGGATCAAACATTTCCCGATCGCCCCATATTCTCCGCAGCAAAACGGTGTAACGGAACGAAAGAACCGAACCATTCTTGATATGGTTCGATCTATGTTGAAAGGGAAGAATATGCCAAAGAAGTTTTGGGCAGAGGCGGTGCAAGTGCGCAGCTCTATTTGCAAAATAGATGTCCACATGCAAAGCTAGGAGAGAAGACGCCTCAGGAGATATGGAGTGGTATGAAGCCAAGTGTCTCTCATCTAAAGGTGTTTGGTAGCATGGCTTATGGGCAAGTACCAAGTCAAGCACAGGACTAAATTAGAAGATCTGAGTAAGAAGTACATATTTATCGGGTATGATGGAAAATCTAAAGCTTATAAATTGTTTGATCCTCGTTAATAATAAAGTGGTGGTAAGCCGAGATGTTCATGTGGAAGAAACAAAGCATTGGTACTGGAGTAACCCGACGTAAGAAGAAACTAGTTCGGAAATTGTTTTGCCTTCAACAATAACAACCATTGAGTCCTTAGATAAAGAAATAGAGCCACAACAGCCCAAGATGAGAAGTCTGCAGGATATATACGACACTACAAATGAAGTTCATGTTGTATGTCTTTTGGCTAATTCCGAAGACTTGAGTTTTGAGAAAGTTGTCCAAGATGAGAAGTGGAGAACAACCATGGATGAGGAGATTGGAGTGATTGAACGCAACAAAACTTGGGAACTGACTGAACTTCCTAAAGGAGCTCAACCCATTGGAGTAAAATGGGTGTACAAAAAGAAGATGAATGTTGAGGGAGAGGTTGAACGTTACAAGGCTCGACTTGTGGTGAAGGGTTATAAACAAAAGGAGGGAATTGACTATGATGAAGTATTTGCTCCTGTTACGAGAATGGAGTCAATCCGACTTCTAATCTCATTAGCTGCTCAGAATCAATGGTCGATTCTACAGATGGATGTGAAGTCAGCATTTCTAAATGGAGTGCTGAAGGAAGAGGTGTATGTTGAGCAACCACTCGGGTACATGAAGAGAGGGGATGAGGAAAAGGTACCGAGATTAAGAAAAACTCTCTATGGGTCAAGCAGTGCTCCTCGTGCTTGGAATGAGAGAATTGATGGGTATTTCAAGAAAAATGGGTATGAACAATGTCCATATGAGCATGCTTTGTACACAAAGAAATCAAAAAAGGATATGATGATAGTTGCTCTTTATGTTGACGATCTCATATTCACTGGAAGCAATACGAAGCTAATTAAGGAGTTCAAGGAGGTAATGAAGAAAGAGTTCGAAATGACAGACTTAGGGCTGATGAAATATTTTCTTGGTCTAGAAGTGAAGCAATCAGAGGAAGGAATTTTTATATCCCAAGAGAGGTATGCACTTGAAATTTTAAAGAAATTTAAAATGGAGGACTCGTAACCTGGTTTCTACTCCAATGGAACCAGGCACTAAACTCTCAAAGTTTGATGGAGGAGAACGAGCCGATTCTCGGAGATATCGAAGCTTAATCTAAGTCTCGAGATACCTTACAAGTACAAGACCCGACTTAATGTTGAGTGTCGGGATAACGAGCAGATACATGGAGAATCCAAGTTACACACATTGGAAGACCTTAAAGAGAATTTTGAGATATGTTCGAGGAACCTTATCACTTGGTCTATTCTATTCAAAATCGGATGACTACCGACTAGTGGGTTACTCTGGATAGTGATTGGTGTGGTGATATTGATGACCGGAAAAGTACTTCAGGTTATGTGTTCCTACTCTGAAAAACAGCTTTTACTTGGTCGTCAAAGAAGCAACCCATTGTAACTCGTCAACCTCGTGAGGTCGAGTATGTGGCGGCCTCTTGGAGTGTGTGTCATGCAGTTTGGCTTTCAAATTTACTAAGGCATCTCGGGAGTGATCCAAGACGAAAGGATTGTAATTCGAGTTGACAAAGAACCCGGTTAATCATGGAAGGAGCAAGCACATTGACGTCCGATTTCATTTCATCCGAAAACAAGTTAGAGAAGGAAAGGTTGAGCTGGAGCATGTTGAAAGTCGAGCTCAAGCTGCTGACATGTTCACCAAACCACTGCCAACTACACTGCTGGAGAGTTGTAAAAGACTTATTGGAATAAGAGATGGGAAGAGTATTTAAGTTTAAGGGGGAGATTTATTGTAAAACTTAAATTAGACGTTTAGTATTCCTATAATGGTTTTAATTACGAGTGGTATAACTAATGAGTTGTAAACCTATTTAATAGGTATTATGATTTACGTTTGGTATTTGAAAAGGCAAATATTTTGGCCATAAATAATTGTAACAACTCATTTGAAATTGTATCAGGAGAAAAATTGAGAGCGTTGTTTTGTTTTCCTGTTACCAACATATTTTGGGACTATAGCATGCAAAAACTCTCAATCCAGACACAGTTAACGTCACAACCATATCTTAAATTGATCTGTTGCAGTATTGGCGTACTAGACACTTGCATTTAGAAGCCCTTAGTTTAACCAGCATAATGTGGGCAACAAACAAGAATCCCTCCGGAAATCAACCCTATGCTTCAAAAACAAAATTGCTCAAAATTGCAAATTACTCTGGTCTCAGGGTAATTCCGCTTTATCTACTCTACATATTCATCAAGCATGAATTATCAGACAGAACCCTATGAGACATTTATTTTTCAATGTATATCTGCTAGTTTCGTTTGAAAGTAACGCCATAGTGTGAACAGATTTGGTGGTACACTGTATTGCTTGAAGAAAACATGAAAAGCAATCCTTAGCGAGGGTGTAATTCCGTAATGGATATTTCATTCACAGACCATGGAATTGAACTGGTGGTAGACCGATCGGTGGTAGACTGATCAGATTCAAGCCGTCGGCATAGCCTGTCAGGACTTCTTCCACGAAGAAAAGATGTTGGTTGTCGTGGCATTGACATGGTAACCGAATAGCTGTTCAGCATAAGTGCAATGGTGGCCATTGATGGTCTGTCAGATGGATTTTCCTGAACACATAATAAACCGATCTGGATGCATCTATTTACTTCATTTCTTGAACAAGAACCTCTAAGTGTTGGATCCAGAAATTCCATAGGTGTTTGCTCTGTCCAATTCTTCCAAGCCTGTAATAGTATAATGTTAGTATTTAAAATACGAATTTCTCATTTCCTCACCCACTGAAATAGTTAGTGATTGCAGCTATAAGTTTGGTATCAGCAGAGTCGAAGAAAAAATATTACTATTGTTTATACTCACAAGACTTAAGAGGTCATCAGCGTGTTCCGATTGATATAAATTAGTTCTCTTCTTGCCACTCATAATCTCCAAAACTAAGATACCAAAGCTGAATACATCTGATTTCACAGAAAATTGTCCACGCATTGCATATTCCGGGGACATGTAACCACTGAAAAACAGAAATATAATCCACTTATCTGAAAAAGAACAATAAATTTTTGGAAAGAACATGTTTTTTTTTTCTGCTAAACTTAATAAACGATATGTTACAACATAAGAGAAGATGACATATAAACATTAGACTTACTAAGTCCCAACAATCCTTCCTGTATTTACTTGAGTCTGATCTGCCTGGAAAATTTTTGCCATGCCAAAATCTGAAATCTTTGGATTCATTTTTTCATCCAATAAAACATTACTAGCTTTGAGATCACGATGTATAATTCTAAATTGGGAATCTTCATGTAAATAAAGAATTCCTCGAGCAATACCAACTATAATCTTGTAACGTCTTGACCAATCTAACTCTCTTTGCTTCGCAGGGTCTACAATGTTTTCCAAAATGAAATACCCATATTAGCAATAGGAAAGTAACAAAAATTTCCGATCACACAATGCTATTAACTCCCTCCAACGTGACTGCTGTTTAATAAGGGAAAATGAATCATCATGTGAATACAATGAAGTGATTCTGCTTATTTGTCATATCAGTCGGTTTAGGGCAATCAATCACTACACTAATTGAGATCTCAGGTAATAAAAGAGTAGAAAAAATACATACCAAATAGAAAGTGATCAAGGCTTTTGTTTGGTATGTATTCATAGATAAGGATCTTCTCCTGCCCCTCCAAGCAAAATCCCAAAAGTCTTACTAAATTTCTATGCTGAAGTTTGGCCACAAGGCCAGCTTCATTCCTGAATTCTGCTGCACCCTGCAAGGAGGTTACTGACAACCTCTTAACAGCTATCTCCTGTCCGCTAGGGAGGACACCCTACAATCAAGTATTGAAATAGACCAATTAACTACTTTATCATAAAATGAAATATTTGTTAGTCAGAATTTAGCATAAATATGTTTCATACCCTATATACCACCCCAAATCCACCTTGTCCAATCTTGTTCTCATCTGAGAATCTGTTTGTGGCAGCTTCAACAGTAGCCAAGTCAAATTGCAAGGACTCCACATCAGTAAGATCATCCACAACTACACAACAAATAGGGACAGCAATCATCAGCAACCAAATTAAAGTCAAGGGAAACAAATTACACTATACAATCACTTTGACGGAGAAAGAGAGATTACTTGAATCCGTGACAAAAGAATTGATGCATCTATTGTTTGCCCTCTTACATATGAAGCGGACGCCAACAATGAAAAGTACAACCGCAACAACAATTGGGACTACAATGGCCACAATTACAGAAATTCTGCTTTTCCCTGCACAGGTTCGTCACTTTCTAAGATAGCCCAGCAACACAAAAATTAATCAAAAAACTGCATTTGATACCTGAAGATTGAGAGATAAAGTCTGGTTGTGTGGAGACGGACGAAACATTATAAAACGGGTACAATTCATATCTGACATTACAACCCGGAAGCAGGGACCGTGCACCTTGTTTGCCGTCACAGCAGTTGGGAAAGGCACTGATGGCGCTTGACAAGCACGAGTCACAATCAGAAGTGGACAAATCAGGCGTGCACTGTGCCAGGGTGTAGAGCTTCATTGAGCTCGTGACATTCGCTTCTTTTGTAGCAAACTTTTTATCCGAACCAGACTTGGCATCTTGTTTCGCATCATTCAACGTGGAGGAAAGAATACTGTTGAACTGTGAGTAGTCTGAGTCAGGAACGCTTTGTTGGTTTAGCAAGTTCACCCCTGGGACTATGTTGTTGAAGGAATTGTTGGAGTAGCGCAGCATGCACTCGTCGTACCAGATTACAGACACGGTCTGGTTAGTGCAGAAGCGTGTGATGTTGTCGGCTGCGGCGGTGACGCAGTCATGACAAATTGAGGGGGTGACATCGCCGCGGCAGAGGAAGAGTCCCTTAACCTCCCCGGGGGCTCCGAGGGAGATGTTGGTGAGGTAGAAACCGCCGTGGAGAGTGGCGTTGGAGACGAGGGATGAGAGGAGGAGGTTCAAGTTGGTTTGGAATGTTGTGTTGGGTCCGTACTGGGATCCATCGCAGGCATGTGCGCTATATATAGGTGCAGCTTCAGTAGCAAAGTTTTGGAAGACAAACAGAAAGAGAAGTAACAAGTGGGTTGAAGAGGAATTGAAGATGCACATCTTCAGAAACAAGTTTGATCTGGTGCTTAATCTTGAATCGTGTTTGTTAGATTCTGTTCTGGAGGATGAAGATGAGTTTAAGGAGGGAAATGCTACGCCTTGACCTCAACAGGAACCATAATCAATTGTTTCAGACAAGTCAACGAGAAATTCAGGTGAAACTTCCCATTTGTATTTGTAGAAAAAGAAAAATTGGATGGATATCAAAAAGTGTCACCAGGTTACAGTTTTATAAAAGTTTGTAAAAAAGTTAATGAATGGTTAAAATGGGACTTTAAAATTTTTAAATTTGCATCGCATGTTGAATTTAGATTTGACTTAACAATATTTTTAATTTGTTTTAAATTATTTTGAAATTATAAGTCAATAATAAAATAGTTCAAGAAAATTTAACATTTTAACACACTAGTTTCTTTTTTCTTTTAAATATTAAATTATCCACACCTTCCCAAACCTAACCTTCACTTTGTCCAGAGATGATATTGACCGAAATCACCAGCTCTTAAATGTGAACTTACTATTTCCGTGTGTTACACTAATTCTTGAATAATAAAGTATTTTTATAACACACCTTAGGAGGACGCAGTTAAGAATGTTTGCACTGAGATTTTATTATTATTAAATAATCTTTATAATCAAATATAAAAATTAAATTTTGTTTACCTTAAATTTTAAATTTGATGAAAAATAAATCTAGTTTACTTTTTAGATTGATTTTTACTATTTTTGTTGTAATAGAATTATTGAAAAAAATTAGAAAAATATAAAATATTTCTTAAAAAACTATTACATAATTTATAATTAAGAAATTACAATAAAAAATTGCCATCATATTTTAATAAATATAAATATATTATAAATAAAATACAATAAAATAATAAAATAAGATATATATATATATATATATATTTTAATTGATAATTAATTTTAAATATATAATATTATATTTAAATAAACTGTATTAAATAAGATTTGATTCATATTAATTGAATTATTGATTTTTAATGCTAAATTCTAAATAAACTGTATCATTTAAAAAAGAATAAAATCATATTAATATTTTAAAAGATAAAGTAATATTTTTAAATGTTTTATTCAATTTATATTTTAAAATTAGTTCTTAAAGATAGTTATTTTAAAATTGTTCATATTATATTTCGAATCCAAAGATTTCAATGTTAAAAAGAGTCTAATGTTAGACCAATGTGACCTATGCGACTGTCTTTCAGTTTATTTTTTTCATTACAATAAGCGTTTTCAAGTTTTGATGGAGAAAGAAGTGAAGCCAGTCAAAAGAACCGACTGAAGAATCCAAGTCAATTTTGGCGTCCAAGAAATGGATAAGAATGAAAAAAAATCAAATTTTGAATTTAATTCAAAGCTATTTTAGATTTCATTAAACTCAAATTTAGCCATAAAAAAATTACCTCATGTTTTTCAAATACTAGTAATGAAAGTTTATACAATTTCACCTCGTAACTAATTTCACTCTAGATGATTTTAAACATTAAGTCATGCTTAAAAAAATTATAAATAAATAAATCAATCTTTTTTTATATATTACATTTGATAAAAAACAATTATGAAAAAGTGAAAAAATATATTTTTTCACCTTTCTTATTTAATATATTATTTTAATATTTATAAAAAATTGAATAATCATATAATTCTTCGTATATATATATATATATATATATATATATATATATATATATATATATATATATATATGATATTTTTATTTAAATTAATTCAAATATGATAAGTTATTAAATTTAAATATTTATTTTTAAAAGGAATAAAATTAGAAATATATAAAAAAATTTGGGACATAATTAACCATCCTAAACATTGATCGATCTTTTTGGGAGCCGAGGAGTCACGACTCCAAAATTTTGTAATTTTTATACAATTTATAATTTTTGTCTCCTCAGACTAAATGATCATTTAATATATTTATTTATATATTTACAATTTTATCCTCTCATCACTCCTCATTCTCGATATAATTTATGATTTTATCCCCTCAAATTTAATAATCATTTAATATATTTATTTATTTATAAATTTATTTTCTCAATCATATATCTTCTTTTTCTTTTTTATATTTATTTATTATTTATTAATAATATATTATTTAATCCTCATAAGAATCAACATCCTACATTCATTCTAATTCACTGCTAACATGACACAATTCTTTTACATTTCACATTTTATAAGATTAAGGCGAACTTATATTTAATTTTAATATAATATTAAAATATATATTTAATATGTGTCCGTTGTGAATATCATGTTGTTAGGTCTTTTGTGTCAAAAAATTATTATGTTACGTGTCATTATAAAACTTTAATATCTCAATTAAATTCATATTCTATAATTCACCCCTCATTTCTGCATGTAAAATCTACGAGAAGGGAAAAAAAATCATGAGTACCAAAATCAATTATGAGTGGGAAAAATATCGCAATTCTGTTTTTCTTTTTTTAATGTTTGACGATTAAAATTAAACATAAACTACTGGATAGGGTTGCATTTGAAAATTTCCATGAAATTGTGTTTGAAACTGCGATTCAAACACGAAAAAATAGTATACGAAAGAAGGAGTTTAGAGTATTCACGTATGAGTGGTACGATTTTAGTTATAGATAATTTTTATTTTAAATTATGTTAGGGAACACGATTTTTTTTATTACTATTAAAGTATCTAATACGATTTTAGTGTTTTTTTAAATAGAAATATTTGATTTTTTGTTAAATATATTATTTATAAATTAATTATTTTTTATTTAATTATTAATTTAAAAAAATTTAAAGATATTAAGAAAATTAAGGAGATGGATAAATTTAAATTATAACATTTAAATTAAATAAAAAAATACATATATTATTGTAGAAATCAAGAAAAAAAATTTAATGATTATATCTTGTCTCATAAGATAATCTTCTAATTTATCATATAGATATGCATAATTATTTTTAGAGGATGTTTGTTATGCTTGTGTAGTACGTTATAATTGGGTGACGATGGAAGTTGAATATTTCTTAATTTATTATTATCATCAATATCTTCATCCTCTTTATTTGCATAATACATAGGGGATATATGGAATATAATAAAAATAAAAGGAACTAGATTGTATGTTGACAAGGGTGTAATGAAAGAGATGGAAAACATACATTAAATAAATGTAAAATTAACAAATGAGATATTTGCTTAAATATTTATATATAATAAAATTATAATGTTTTAAATTCATTAATACGTAAAATATTGAAATGAATAATTATTTATTAATTTTGGTCTAATTTGATATTATGCAAGTTCGTCCTAAGGTTTTGACAGGATCTGAGATGATGGTCATTTAAGGTTAGATGATTCGACACAATACAATTTTAGGTCGAACGAATCGACACAATGATCCTTTGAGGTCGGACGAATCGATACAATGATCTTTTGAGGTCAGACGATACGATGATTTTATGAGATCATATGACACGATGACCCTTTGATTAATAGTATAATAGTGTATTTTGATTATTGGTATAATAGTTAAGCCAAACAACTCAACATAATATCATTGTGAGTTATTTATTAAGTCTCGATATTCGTGACTTGAGGCTAGAAGACTATGTTATGTTTAAATAAAGGATTTCGTCCAACAACCAAACGAAGATATAATAATGTGATCATTTAACTTACTTTAACCTTAACATCTATGATTTGAGGTTAAGGGTTATGTGGATTCCACATAAATTATCTCGTATGTCTAATTCAACAATTTGATCATAATGCGATTTTTTTCGCTTAAGGATGTGATATCAAATATTTCACACAAATTATTATCTATCACCATAAATCCGCATAACGAAAATCAAACTATTTAATAAATATTATAACAAAACCTGAGGTCCTAGCTTAAAGATTTTAAATCTAAAATAAAACGACTCATTCAAAAAATACTTAGGATTAAGTAACCACCAAGTTCATTTAATAAGTTCATTTAATAAGAATTATAGTTAATAAAAAAATTTGGACAACATAAAATAGATATGAGATTATTATGAATTACATATTTAACAGAAATATAAAAATTAAATAATTTATAAATAAGAAACATTTATTAATATTTTATAAGAAATTTAGTTGAATGTTATATATATATATATATATATATATATATATATATATATATATAAAATGTTAGTTGTTATATCATTAAGAGAATTTTCATATTATTAAATTCTCAAAAATCTCAAATAAAATAAATAGTAATTAAAAGAGTCATTTATTTAATTAAGTTATAAAAAATATTTTTACTAACACATATACTTCTATGTTTTTTTTGTTAGGGGTAATACTTCTATATTCTTTTAATGAGATGGATCATATTTTTTTCTTTTGGAGAAAACCACTGAACAATACTTTTTAATATGATATAAATTACCTTTTTTAAATCGAAATGTATCCTATAAATACTCACTGACATAAATAATGATTACAATGAAAAAAAAGTCTCCCCAGTCCTAGTCCGTGGATATTTTTAGATCTAAACAATCTGCCAAAGTAATTCCAGCAAACACAGATATTGTCTTCGATGCTGATGCAGCAGCTACAAAAACTCAGAAGAGAAAAATAGCTTTGGCCTTATTTATACTTCACCAATCTACACTACCAATTGCCAAATTCCCCTTTCAACGATTAGATCCTTTGCAGTGATTAGGAAGATAAAAAGGATAATTAACAATAGAACTTCCTAACCACTGCACTATCTGATATGAATAATCAAGGGTCGTCTTGCATTATGCTTTTCCAAATTAAGCACAGAAAATCATAATATTCAGCACTAATAGTATTCTATTCCCATTCATCTACTCGTAATTACTATGTCTTGCCCCGAACCTTTGTTGTTCTTCGCAGCATCAATCTCATCTACACCTCAGAATAATTCTGTTTTTCAACGCCATAATGAAACAGTCAGCATCTACCATGACATGAAGCTAGTAAATACTTACTTAAATTGGAATACAAGAATTCAAGTATTGTTACCGTTTCCTTCCATAATTGTATCACACTCTTTGCTTGCTTTCTCATGACAGTAAATATCCCAAAAGTGAAAAGCACCATTGCAGCAACAACAGGGATAAAGAATGTAAGAATCACTTCAACACGACTCCTTCCTGGAAAACATCAATGGAATTCAATCACACACTACTCAAAATCAAGTAAGCAATATTCACTACTTACTAGCACTGTACCTGAAGGACGAGACTTCACAAGCGGTGGGGCCAATGTGTTAGTGCTGTTGTAAAATGGATACACCTCATATCTGATATTGCATCCTGGAAGCAACACTCTTGCCCCTCGTTTCCCATCACAGCAATTCGGAATATACGCAATGGCACTTCTGAAACACATGTTGCAATTGAACAAGGACAACTCTGGCGTGCACTGCACTAACCCATAAAGGGTCACCGAACTCGTGAGGTTCACTTCCCCTGTCGCAAATTTCACATCTGCCGAATTCGTAGCTTTCGTTGCCAGAGAATTCAGCAATCCCGCGAGCAACTCGTTGAATCGATCAAGGTTAATGCTAGTCACGTTTTTGGAATCAGACATGTCCACTCCGGGTACGATGCTATTGAGGTTTTGGTTGGAATAGCGAACCATACAAACGTCGTACCAGATTATGGCCTCTTTCTCAGCAGGGCACCGGTGTTTTAGGTCCGCTGCTGCGGTGGTGACGCAGTGGTGGCACGCGGTGGCAAGGGTGTCGCCGCGGCAGAGGAATAGGCCTCTGACGGCGTTGGGGGTGTCCCTGCCAATTGTTGTTTTGTAGAATTGGGTGCCTTGAGTGGCGTTGGAAGACAGGGAATAGAGGAGGAGGCTGAGGTTGGTTTGGAATGTGGTGTTTGGTTGGTATTTGTTAGAGTCTGTGCATACATGGGAACTGTAAATTGGCGTTGATTTTGTTGGGAAGAATAAGGAACTAAAGAGGAAGAAGAAAAGTGGGAGAATCGCTAAGTAGTTGGAAGGAGGCATCTTGGTGATGTTCCTGTGGAGAAAGATCTGCAATTTGTCTCGGTCGTCTTTTATGGTTTATGTTTGTTTGAGAAGGTAGTTTTTGGAAGAGGTGTAAACAGTGACAGGCACAAAAAAGCAAAGTCTATGTCCAATCATCTTGTGTATAAGTGGTGGAAATAATTGTGAGCCGAGGACAAATCCGGGTTGGGTTTCGCAGGCAATGACGAAATAGAAAGGATTAATTGTTGGGAGAACAGTGAGAGGTGAAGTAAAAGATGATGAAAAATATCTTGATTACCTCTAGACATTGGTAGGTTATTTGGTGGGAGAGAGATACGTTCACCGTCCCTACTAACAAAAATACTTCTCCAATACTACTATTAATAATGATAATAAAATATTAGAATTTTATATTTATTATTATTATTATTATTATTATTATTATAAATATGAGTTATAAAATAAATATATATAAAATTTTAGTTATCAATGGAATAAGGTATCCGTTATGACAATTTTAATAAAAATTAAGAAAATGATAATATTTTGTTAAGTAGGTTTCATGTAACATTTATTTTTTTAATTTCATCTTATTATTATTATTTTTAGTATTAATTTAATTTTATTATTTTTAAAATGATTAAATATTATTGATTATACAGATTTTAGCTAAAACTTTAATAAATTTTTAATTAGTGTTAAAGAAGTGAAAATCTATTTAGATTAATCTTAAAAATTTCCTTTATTGATTAATTTGTCTCTTGTTTCATTAAACCTTAACAATTTAATATGATAAGTCTTTAATAATTAAATTTTTAGGACATAGACATTGTAATTGTGCTTGATTCTTGATATAATTTTAAGATGATATGATTTCTTAAAAAAGAAATTTGTTTACTCTTATGTCTCTAGGAAGTCACCAAACTATCGGTAAAGGTCCAATTATATATGAAAACTATATAATACTATCGGTAAAGGTCCAATTATATATGAAAACTATATAATCCTTCAATCTTTAGGGGAAAAATTTTGAGACTTAAACTTTTGTTTAAAAATAGTCTTAATATCAATAACTCTCATCAAAATATGTCTGATGCCAACTCCTCTTAGGATCACAAATTGGGTCGCACACATTCACACCATGGATTACATAAGATCACAAATTAGGTCAAATACGTCCATTTAATGATTAAGTTAGATATGACCATATAGTGGATTTCAAATGATCATAAATTGAGTTTAATACAACCATATGGTGAATCTTATAAGATCATAAATAAGGAGAGATACAACAATATTATGAATCTCAATGTGATCAATCTCATAGGATCTCAATTTAGTAGACCTCATAGGATCTTAATGTGTGGAGCTCATAGGATTTCAAATATGATCGATGTTGATCATATTGTGGATCTCATAAGATCTCAAATGTGGTGGATCTCATAGAATCTCAATGTGTTGATCTCGTGGATCTTAAATGTAATTGATATTAACCATGTTATGGATCTCGTATGGCAAATCTTGTGGAATTTCAAATGTCAAAATTGGGTTGAGCAATTTAAAATTGCAAAATTATCTAAAATTGTTTTCTTTATCAATTTTTGAGGACAAACCCTAGATATGAAGGAACAAAAAAACCTTCCAAATGGAAAAAAAAAAATAATTGAAGTAAAAACACGTATTCAAAGGGTTCTAAGTCTTGGAATGCTTCCCCCGTCCAGAATCTCGAGTTGATATGTTATCTTTTCCACTATCTTAGTCTTATGTCGAGCTTCTTGTATGTCTTAGTGGATAGAATAATTTTGAATTCTGACCTAAAGTCAATATCAATTAGGATCATATATTTTCCCATAGTTGCATCTATGTATTCGAATTCTCCTACCGAAAAAGAGGGAGAATTTTTTCCAACAAAGTTTGGAAATGGATGCATCATATCCTAAGACTACCAATCCTTCCATAACAACATTTCTACAAAAAAGTGTCCTTACACTTACAAATCTTATTCTTCTTAACTAGATATTATTGACTTTTTTTTTATGTAATAAGAAATACTTTACCATTTTTCATAAACTATACAAGATGCTCTTAAAAAAAATTACAAAGAATTTTTTACTAGTTTCAAAGAAGTGAAAACCTATTTAAACCTAACCCTGAAGTAGAAGTTCCTTTTATTGGTTAATTCTCCTCTTATCCCATATTGATGGACTTAGGTCTTAATTGTGATTTCATGGTAGTCAATTTTTTTTTTTTAAATATGTTTATATTTATTATTTTGATCTCTCAGTATTAAAATAAATAATCAAATATATCATAATTTTGTTAAAAGTTAAATAAAAAAGATTAAAAAAGTTTTATCCACTGATATTTCCATCTTCTCTCTTAATAAGGTTTAATCCATTTTCTACTTTTAAATTCTTCTTTCTTCTCTTTCATAGGTATAATTAAGATTATTTTTTATAAGATTACATTCTTCCTTTTATACATAAATAACTTAGTTTAATACGATAAAGATATTTTTCTCCTTATCCTTTCATATTCTTTATTCTTTATTCTATCATTAATAATTTATTATTATTTATTGTTATTTTAAAGTTTTAGAAAAATATTTTGTATTTGAAAAAAATTAAATTTTATAAATTTTTATGATTCTATAATAAGAAAAACAATCTATTGAATTTTAATTCAAGATCTAATTAGATTTATGTAAATCATGTTTTTGTCCTTAAAATATACTTTAGTTTTATTTAATATGAAATATTAAAAAATATATTATTTTTTAAAATTGATAAAAGATATACTACCTATCGAGATAAAAATAAAATAAATTTAACTTCTCCCTTTATATTCAAAACATAATATTAATGATCCAAATATTTAATTAGAAGAGTTTTTTTTTTATAATGTTTATAGAAATACAATTAATGAATTCCATATATTAATTGTTTAGAATGTGAATTAAAGAAAACATTTTCAAATGTAAGAATATTCAATAAGTATTATATGTAATTTTAGTCTCTAAACTGATTGGTCAAAATTTGTGAAAGTGTTAACAATTTAATTATATATGTCTTTAATAGTTGAATTCTGGCAACAGAGAATATGCTATATCAATATCTAATTATAGATGTAATTTTACTTTAGTCTCTTAAAAAAAAAATTACTTTAGTCTCACGTCCTTAGAAGTCACCGGATTACTTACCACTTAGATCGAAACACTATAATATATAATAAAACATACATATCAATATCATTATTATTATAATTATTATGACTATATACACTATTTTAATTGATAATTTAACAATATTAATAAAAGATATAAAAAACAATCACGTTTAACAACATCCAACCGATACTTGGATAGATTAAACAAAACTAGCATAATAGGAGAAGACCCTACGAAGTTTTGGGATCGTGACCCTGTTATGTGTAAACTTAATATAATCAATCATGATTTGATTATAAAAACAAAAGACATACAGTTTAACAACTGGGAACAAGAAGAATGTTAATTGCATATTGACAATCTCTTGAAATTGAAAGTAATAACTCCAAGTGAGAGTCCTTATAGGAGTCCTGCTTTCATTGTAAATAAAGTTTCAGAGTAAAAAAGAGGTAAATCTAGGATGGTTTACAATTATAAAAGACTTAATGATAACACAGTCGAAAATGGATTTGGTCCTAACAAATACAATTTTTGTTCTTTATTACAAAAATTGCTTACTTCCCAGTCTGCTAATGATGGGAACACACTCAAACAACAGATTTATCTGGGTCATTTGGAAAGACTTTCCATAACATACTTTGGAAAGATAAAAGAATTTTTACAAGATTATCTCATGTACGCATCCATAGCTAGATGTTTCCATGATTTAAGCATTGGAGAAAAGATGTTTCTCAAACTACCAGGAAAACTTGGCCAAAACCTTATTTGGTGGAATGCGATCCTGCTTGGATTAGTAAACAATTAATTGAAGATTTATTCTTTTCAGGGTTCATGAAAAGGATAATTATCTACAGAGATTCAATGATAGAACCATTTTTCTGTATTAAGATAAATTACTGGATAAATGCGTTCTTTCTAAATGTTTACAACAGAGAGTATTTCATTGAAGTACTCTCAACACACCCCAATAGCATAAAAGGGGAATATCCAGCTAAACATCACTTGTTCCTGGATACTGAGTCATTCACTGACATCTTTCAGTGATGACCTCCAAAAGATTGATCATAATAATCCTCCTTTCACTACAGCGAGGTATGATCAATTCCAAGATGAAAATATCAATAAAGAGCTCTTAGCTGAAACTTCCACTACCAGTCTTTGGATAAGACGCGGCAAAGCTTCTTACTTACGGCGGAACCGTGCAAATCCCGCCTCACCAATGAGTCTTTTAGATAAAGACGAATTTACCCTTGAAGATTTCGAGGAACTCCTAATGACGTAATCCCTTACGTCATTAGCCATTTAAAGACTAGTTTGTCCTTGAAGATTTCGAGGAGCTTCTCATGACGTAAGCCCTTACGTCATAACGGCTGTATCAAAAGACGACAAAGGTTAATGGCAGATAATGATATCTTGCTACCTTGTCACGATTCATCTTCCATTACATGTTGTTAGGCCCATTAAGCCTTGCATGTTAATGATGATAAGATTGAATCAGTCTTTTGATAAATGTAAAAAAAAAAATGTTATTATTCACTTTTGTCTTTAGTGAGGAAGTTTCCTCCGTAGGTTTCCATTTACTTCCTTTCTAAGTTTTGAGACTCATAAGTCATAAAGTGGGTCCCACATGTAAATTACTATTTATTAGTTTAATATTTTTGTTTTCCTGTATAATGTTTCATAAGACCCTTATGCTGGGCAAGAAGCATTCTCTTAAGAGCTTCCCTCTCTCCTCTCCTCTCCTCCTTCTCTCTACTTCTTCTCCCTCTTATGTAAATTCTACTATCAATAAGAGAAGTATATTCAGCATCTCCCCTCTCCTTCTCCTCCCCCTACCCCGAGTAAGTTTTCT